GATCTTGATTCTATCCCTCTGTTAATGCAGCCTAGCACTGTGTTGGCCTTTTTGGCAGCTGCAGCACACTGCTGGCTCATATTTAGGTGATTGTCCACTAGGACTCCGAGGTCCCTCTCACAGTTACTACTATTGAGCAAGGTGCCACCTATGCTGTACTTGTGCAATTGGTTTTTCTTGCCTAAATGTAGAACCTTGTCAAAATGAAATGAAATTGCTTCATTTCCACTGCACTTAAAATTTCAGCTTTCAGCTTTTACCCACATTCTGAGTTTTTCAGATATTTCTAATCAAGAATTGTTGGGTTACACAAATATATTTTACATAACCATAAAGGCTTGCTTTATAACTTGATCAATTAGAAAAACAAAGTCAGTAATCCTTGTAGCCACTTCAGATACTTATGGAAAACTACTGAAAACAGCCAGAAAACAATAAATCCATGCATTACCTCAGGACTCACATTCCTGGAAAAGGAAAAAATAAACTGGGAGAAAACTTTCCAAAGAGCAAAGGTAATTTCCCTTGTCCAGTCATTTCTGACTCTAGGGCAGGGGTAGGCAACCTTGGCTCTTTAATGACTTGTGGACTTCAACTCCCAGAATTCCTGAGCCAGCATAGGAGTTGAAATCCACGAGTCATAAAATAATAATAATAATAATAATAATAATAATAACAACAACAACAACAACAACAACAACAAAGTTGGAAGGGACCTTGGAGGTCATCTAGTCCAACTCCCTGCTCAGGTAGGAAACCCTATACCATTTCGGACAAATGGCTGTCCAGTCTCTTCTTAAAAACATCCAGTGTTGGAGCATTCACCGCTTCTGGAGGCAGGTTGTTCCACTGGTTAATTGTTCTGACTGTCAGGAAGTTTCTCCTTAGTTCTAGGTTGCTTCTTTCCTTGATTAGTTTCCAAGGTTGCCTACCCCTGCTGTGGGGGGGGGGGTGGTCATCTCAGTTTCTTGGCCGAAGAAGTCACTATTCTCCAAAGACCCTTTCTGCAGTGATGTGGCCAGCATATGCCGAGTCTCACAGAATGCGGTTTCCTTCCCACCAAGGTGGTACCTATTTATCTACTTGCATTTGCATGCTTTCAAACTGCTAAGAAGCTCACCCCTTTGTGTGGCATTCGGGTCT